GCCTCCAACAAATACTCTTTGTAGGCCTCGATCAAATACTCTTTATAAAATCCACGTCTCTTATAGGCTTCCAACAAATAAAATCCACGCCTCTTATAGGCCTTGAAAAAATATTCTTTAGCGTAGGGGATAATAGATTCCAAGCAACGGCTCTGATTGCCTTTAACATGGCGAAGTCCAGGCTGATCTTGGTCCCTTTTTCTCCCCGCGGTTCCACCTGGGAAGCTAATATGTGCCGCGAGTTCTCCCATAAGAACTATAAAGAAATGGGTTGAGGCGTTGGGTTGGTTGCCCACTTTCGGAAAACCCAACCTACTATGAAAAAGCAAAGAAAAAGAAAACCAAACTCCCTCAATGTTGACAACCCCCGCAAACGTATAAAGGACCACGATCTGCGAATCTGCATTTGGAATGTGCGCACGTTGCACAGAGTAGGAGGAGTGTTCGCTTTGGCGGATGTACTCAAGAAGTACAAAGCCGATATTATTGCCTTACAAGAAATGCGATGGAAAGGGACTGGCGTAAGTAAATCAGATGATTACGCTATGTATTATAGCTGTCATGAAACGAGGCGTGAATTTGGCTGGGGATTTATGGCTAACAGGAGAATGAAAGACCTCGTCTCCAGATTCACTCTAGTAGATAAACGAATTGCTATAATACGTATAAAAGCGAAGTTCTTCCACAGCAGTCTTATTTGCGTCCATGCTCCGACCGAAGATAAGGATTAACAGACATATTTTACGAGCGCCTAGAAACAGTATATGACCGTTGCCCTGAACATGACATTAAAATTCTGCTAGAAGATTTTAATGCAAAAATCGGAAGGGAAAATATCTTTAGCTCACCGTCGGAAAATTCAGCCTCCATGAAGAAACATCAGACAACGGCATGAGGTCGATTGACTTCGCGGCAGCAAAAAACCAGATTCAAGCATCTCGATATACACAAGGCCACTTGGATTTCTCCCGATCGAACAACGAGAAATCAAATCGATCATGTTGTAATAGAGGAATTCATTTATTCAGTGTTTTAGACGTCTGATCGATCCGGGGAGCGAATATCGATTCGGACCATTACCTTGTGGCAGCCAAGGTACGCACCCGTCTTAATGTAGCTGTAAAGGTGCGATCTAATTTAACACGGAAATTTGACGTCGAAAAGCTGCAAACACAACATGTAGCAGAGGCCTAATCCCCTAAACTTACCCAGCTGTTTGAAGAAAGCACCCCTTGTCCCGATAATAATATAGAAGCACAATGGAAGATAATTGCACATCCTCTTGTAGAGATAAAGAAGGAAACCTGGTGACAGATACAGACAGCGTGCTGAGGATCTGGAAGGAGCATTTTGAAAAACTTCTGATATCAAATAGTAGCAGTGAAGTGGATACGCCAGAACCGATACTAGATGACGGTATAGAGTGTATACCACCTAGTCAAGATGAAGTCAGAATAGCATTCAATCGGCTGAAAAATAATAAAGCAGCAGGTGCCGATGGATTACAAGCCGAACTATTCAAGACTGGTGGTCAGATGCTGGTAAGGAGCATACACCAGCTGATTAGTACAATTTGGCTAGAAGAATGCATGCCCAATGATTGGAACCTCAGCATCCTGTGTCCCGTGCACAAAAAAGGAGACAAGACGGTGTATAAAGCCATGTCTGCGGTAGGCATTCCTGCAAAATTAATTCGGCTATGCAGGATAACTTTAACGGGCACAAAATCAGCAGTTAAAGTCGGAAAGGACCTCTCGGAGCCCTTTAATAATGAACGAGGATTTAGACAAGGTGATAGTTTGTCGTGTGACCTATTTAACATCCTGCTGGAAAAGGTCATACGAGAGGCAAAAGTGAACAGAAATGACACTCTGTACATCAAACAACACATGCTACTCGCCTAGGCCGATGACAACGACATAATGGGTCGAACATTGAGGTAAAAGCCATATTTGAACAAAATGAGAAGGAGTCTGCCAAAGTGGGTCTGGCAGTAAACGGCGAGAAGACCAATCTGATGGTATCAACGCGCAAGACGTCCAGTAGACTCGGACCAACTGTGGAACTTGAGAACTACAGCTTCGAGGTAGTCAAAGATTTTATATACCTTGGTACCGCCATTAATAAAACGATTAACATAAGTTTTGAAATTCGGAGAAGGATAGTGATGGTCAACTGATGCTACTATGGCATGAGCAAAGAAGTCAAAAGCAAGGCCACCTCCCGCCAGACCAAACTCACACTCTACAAGACGCTGATACTACCCGTGCTGTTATACGGATCTGAAGCATGGGTAACCACGCTAGCAGATGAGGCAGCTCTTGGAGTGTTTGAGAGAAAAATTCTCCGAAAGATATGGGTCCTTGAAAAAAAAATCTTTAAAAATCCACGCCTGTGTTGGTCCTTGAAAAAAAAATTCTTTAAAAATCCACGCCTGTGTTGGTCCTTGAAAAAAAATTTATTAAAAATCCACGCCTGTGTTGGTCCTTGAAAAAATATTCTTTAAAAATCCACGCCTGTGTTGGTCCTTGAAAAAAAATTCTTTAAAAATCCACGCCTGTGTTGGTCCTTGAAAAAAAATTCTTTAAAAATCCACGCGTGTGTTGGTCCTTGAAAAAAAAATTCTTTAAAAATCCACGCCTGTGTTGGTCCTTGAAAAAAAATTCTTTAAAAATCCACGCCTGTGTTGGCCCTTGAAAAAAAATTCTTTAAAAATCCACGCGTGTGTTGGTCCTTGAAAAAAAAATTCTTTAAAAATCCACGCCTGTGTTGGTCCTTGAAAAAAAATTCTTTAAAAATCCACGCGTGTGTTGGTCCTTGAAAAAAAATTCTTTAAAAATCCACGCGTGTGTTGGTCCTTGAAAAAAAATTCTTTAAAAATCCACGCCTGTGTTGGTCCTTGAAAAAAAAATTCTTTAAAAATCCACGCCTGTGTTGGTCCTTGAAAAAAAATTCTTTAAAAATCCACGCCTGTGTTGGTCCTTGAAAAAAAATTCTTTAAAAATCCACGCCTGTGTTGGTCCATGAAAAAAAATTCTTTAAAAATCCACGCCTTTGTTGGTCCTTGAAAAAAATTCTTTAAAAAATCTACGCCTTTGTTGGTCCTTGAAAAAAAATCTTTAAAAAATCCACGCCTTTGTTGGTCCTTGAAAAATATTCTGTAAAAAATCCACGACTTTGTTGGTCCTTGAAAAAAATTCTTTAAAAAATCCACGCTTGTGTTGGTCCTTGAAAAAATATTCTTTAAAAAATCCACGCCTACGTTAGTCCTTGAAAAAATATTCTTTAAAAAATCCACGCCTACGTTAGTCCTTGAAAAAATATTCTTTAAAAAATCCAGGCCTGTGTTGGTCCTTGAAAAAATATTCTTCAAAAAATCCACGCCTTGGTTAGTCCTTGAAAAATATACTATAAAAAATCTATCCTTATTTTGGTTCTGAGGCCAAATTCCGATCAATTCACCTTCCTTCAAAAAATAATTTTTGCGTTTAATTGCATTATTAAACAATCACTTGGCATTGCAATTCTGAAGCATTACACTTCAGCACTTAACCTTTTGTACATGTGTGGGTGTGTGCGTGTTGGTGTATTTGTGTTAAAAATAAATTGATTGATTTAAAATTGTTTTCTGCAAAGCCAATTTATATCTTATAGTAGAGTAAATAATAAATATGTATGTATGTATGCAAGCATGAATACAATCAAAAGAATTCAGAAATCATTCAAAAAGGGTGGGTCAAAGGAAATTGAACTGAAATCGCCCCGAACGCACACACACACGTGTTGCTCTTTGTGAATGAATGAAATTGAAATTTGTTGTGCAGAAATTGAGTAGAAAATTTCCATAGAAGATTCATTAAAATTTGAGTGGATTTTTTTTTGCAGACAATGAATTTTGCAGCCACCCTTAGAGGAGGATTAGTGAGAGACTGAGAACGTGAGCTACACACACCGAAGTGAATGAATTTTTGCAAGGTATGCGGATTGCCTGCCCACCCATCCTTTGATGGAAAAAAGAAGGGCATGTTGAATGTTATAATGGTGACAGGATAAAGGCCAGGCTATGTAGAGTTGCTGGAAATGGTGGTGAGTCCTTTTTAGCGTATGGTGTGCGCACCCCTCTCTCATTGCTTGACTGCTTTTCTGGTGTCTGTGTGTGTGTGCGAGTGTGAGTGAGTGCCACTGTTCTAAAGTGTGTTAGAGGAATTGTGGAAAACCATTTTTTTGTTATCGACTAAACGAATTTTTAACCAACCACCTTAGATTCAGTTGTGTTTCAAACACAAACAGACAAACACGTCACCCAAAACGCTCCGTGTTTTTCGAACCGCTCGAACGATCGAATAGCAAAATATTCATATCATCGAGAGGTTAAATTGTCAAAGAAAACAAAAAAAGCCAAGTAGAAAAAAAAACAATTATTTTATATATAGAAAAAAAAAAAAATAAATAAAATCACACACACATACATACGTACTCGAAATAAAAGTGCTCAATAGAATAGCAAAAGAAATCAACAACAGCAGCAAGGATATATTCGTTGTCCTGGCAGAGTTTTATATATTGTTTTTATTTCTTGGTTTGCTTTGCTTTATTTCTCTGTGTGTGTAAATTTTTTTATTCAACGTTAAGCGAGTAGACAGTAAACGTTTGTTAACGACGGTTGCGGACACACAACAAAGGATATGAACGATTTAAATGTAAAACGTTGATGATCGTGAAAGGACGTACGTTTTTTTGCGGATGAATAAAATATATTTTGCTGTGACAATTTCCTAACAACAAATTACAAGCAAGGTTTCCCAACAAAGAAATTAATTTTTGGAAACAAGTGATTAATTTAAAAAAAAAATAAGAAAAATTTTAAAATAAAAAAAAAAAACAATGTTTAAATTGTGAAAGAAAATTAACAACAAAATATAAACAAGTGAAAAAACAATAACAATTTAAAAAGAAAATAATTGAAATCTCCTCTGAAAAAAATTATAAACAAACAAACCATGTCTTCCTCGGAACACGACGTCGATATCAGCGTGGTCTCCAGTCCTGAACCCAGTCCCATGGGCTGTGGCCAGGAGGGCCGTGAATCACCGCTACGCTCCACATCGCCGGCCCGTTCACCCGGTGCCTCTACACCCAATTCCATGCACACCCCCACCTCGGCAGCCGGTACACCTACCTCTTCGCAACACAATTATCACCAGCCCCCCGTTCATCATCTGCATCAGAGTAGCCCCACCAGCAGCAGCACCACCACAATGGCCACTGCCGTACCACCAACAGTCCTACATCATCATTTGCAACATCATTTGAATTCTCTAAATGCCGGTCATCATCATCCAGTCGCCTTACATCATGCCTTGCATGCCAGTTTTGGCCATCTCACACATCCGGCACATCAACATTTATTACAACATCCTGCCGCAGTGACACCGACGGTTGTTTCGCATTTTGCCGCAGCGGCGGCTGCTTCTTCATCGGCCGCTAATAATAATAATGGTGTTGATCGTTTAAGTCCAACACCACCCTCACTGGCGGCCCATGGTGCTCCAAAATCCCCGGAATCCACAACAACAGAGGAATCACAAAATAACAATAACAACAATAGTAAAATGCTTAATAACAATAATACGGCAAATGGTGATAATAGTGTTGGTAGTGATCAACCGTCGGCTGGCGGAGCGGCTGCTGCCGCCGCAAATGGTAAAGTTACATCGGGTAATGGTTTTACCAGCTTCTCAATTTCATCGATTCTTAGCCGTAATGAACCGACGAAAAAGAACGGTTCAAATTTAATAACACCCATACCTCAATTACCGCCGGCCACTGTCGGTGCCGGTGGACCACAGGATGCTGCCATGTTGTCAAGGTAAGTTGGGCAGGGAAGATTAATAAAAAAAATTAAAAATAAATTCAGTTCAGTTAGAATGAAAGTAAATGAAGGTTAATGTGAGAATTTATGGATTAAAATAGATTTGACCAATCTATAGAAGCCTCCATATTTATTTATAAAACAGATACGTTTTTATTAATTGGCGAAAAAATTCTAATTGAATTTCTAATTCTACAGAAAATAATAATAAATAAATTTATTTAAAGACCTGTAAAAAATGATTGGGTTATTTTTGAATTTGAAAATTATCTTAAAAATATTTGAATTTATGGAATGTTTGGAACCTTATTACAATTCTTCTATAAATCGTCCATTGTTTTCTCATATTTTGAAGTGATTAATAAACCTTAATCGAATTTTAAGCTCGGCTTCGATCATAGCCTAAAAATGGTGTGAAAATCTTGGCTCCATAACCGAATTTTAGAAACCTGCAAATAGACACGCTTTCGAAACTGAATTTTAACAACAATTTTATTGAAATAAAATTATTTTAAAATTAAAGCACAATGTGTGGGTAATTTAAATTCGGACGATGAGGTATTAGGGCGTCGAGGTTTGAAATAATTTTGAGAAATGAATTGATAAGTTATTTGTGATCCCATGAACGCAGATTTTTCTGAATTTCCACACCTTTTGGTTATAATTCCTAATAGTTTTTAATCTTCATGTACAATTTCTTAGCGGATAGTAAATCGTCCTCCAAAATTGTTCAATATACAATGTATTATCATCCAAAAATATATTATATCAATCCGATTTCAATAATAATGACCCAAGCTTTAGTTCCCTTTAATTTTAAGGCATATAGCCTTTTTCAGAGGATTTTTTAACATGAAATTCACATTCACTTAGTGATTAGAAAATCCTCCTGAAAAAACAAAAATGTTCTGGGTTCACTTTTTGCAGGCCGATATAGCTCCTATATGATTTGTTTGCACGATTTTTCGGCCGATCTGATTGAGATATTATTTTTTCGCAATGTCAGGGGATAGGGAAATTTTCTTCGAAGTAAAATATCGTGAAATGTTTTTAAGCATCCTGCGTAAATTTTTACCAGAATATGTCATGTTGAAATTACATTTCAGAAATAAAATTGGCTCAGATCCGTTATAAGGTCTTTTCGATTTTATATTTTTCTGCAATTCAGAAATACTTTTCCTACACATTTGTTCAATTTCAAGTCTGTAGAGAATTCTATCCGTATATTGGATCTCAGAAAAAACGAATTCCTTAATTTTTCCCTACTGATTTTTTTGTGTTCAGAACCTAAACAGATCAACATTCAATGTAGCAGTATTTAGGCCTTGAGTGACTAAGTGTTCCAAGCTTCGTTTGATATTTCTAAATTAAAAAAAAAACTCAATTCTGAGTCAATTTAAATGATATTACCGTTTTATCCGGCACATATTTTTCAAAAATATTAATATGAGCGAATTTGAGTTTTGTTTTATTTCTGTCTCATTTGTTACAATTCATTTTCGGCACTTAGACATCTGACCACAGGACATAGATGATCCCTAAATGGATGCAAACCTCCATTTCAGATTTTTTCAGATCCACAATTTGGATCATTTTTTTCAAATTTAAAAGATCTGATTTTTGTTTGAGCGCCAACTTTTCGTTGTCATAAATGTGACAATCCCTCGCTGTTTAAATCCAGATTAAGGAAAAAAGGAAAAAGAGGAAAAATTCAAATTTTCGAAACTTTCAGCGTCTCTAGATTGTGGGCCTCTGAATTCAAAAAATTGATTTGTGTCCATTTTTCTTATCAGGATAATGGACAGGATCAATTTTTGGACTGTGGCCGTATGTTCACACTAGCACAGCTCGGGTACAGGTTTTTTAGATGATTTATTGATCGTATTATGAGTGTGACCATATGATCAATATTATAAATATATATCCAATTTTAAATAAAAAAATGTCCTCTTATCAGCTCCTGAAAGCACAGAAATATATTCTGGGGATTTTTTTAATATCATAAAAAATTATATTTTTTATTTATTTTTTTTTTTGAAAATGTCAACCCGTTAGATTTTATTCTTTATAAAGACTGACGCTAAACATGTGTCCTTTTTGTGGGTGTTTTTCCCCAATTCCCAGATTTTCAATTCAAAGTAACAAGATTTCTGTCGAATATAAATCTTGGAATTAGTCCAACAAATCACTAATAAATTTTATTCCCATTAAATCTCTCAGGTAATGATGCATCAAATCCCCAAGCACACGTTCCACGCTCTATGCAAACTCAGAGATTTCTTATCAGGCAAACGTTTTGGCTATTATATTAATTACATAATTTTTCCACTGAACGAAAATTGACCATTTGTTGTCCGAAAATCAGTTATCTAATAACGAGACGAGTCCATCACAGTGAATCCTTAAAAGCCATCACATTTCAAATACTAACCCCTAAAAAAAATTGTTCAGGCAAACCAATTCTATAGACATAGACGAAGTAATAAAATTTTATGAAAAAAATGAAATTTGAGAACTTTTTTTATGTAACTGGAAAATAGTAGATGAAGAATAGGAAGACGAAAAAAAATATGTACAAAATTTTGCAGTTGTTGTTTGTGGAATATTTTTCTAACTGCAGACATTTTGGTAAAAGAGATTTAAAAACTAAAGCCAGTAATAAAATCGCAAGCGGACAGCAAAAACAAACCTTCATTCAAGTAGTGGCGACAACTTGGGAGGGTAAATCTCCGTTCAGAATTTTATTTTGTTGTTTTTCACCCTGCAAATAGGAGTTAAGGACTTTAGGACTAAAGAGACAGACATTTAGCAGAGATTTGTTGTTTTGCTTGTTTTCGTTTGTGGTGGTGTTTGCCGTCCCTGTAGTTAAACCAACCATAAAAGAGGGAGTGTGAATGAGCTGGATTTTTTCCGTTGTTGTTGTTATAAATTTGTTCATTTCTATTAATCAAGAGATATAAGTGCATAATGACGACAGCAACAACAACAGCAGCAATAATGAAATAAAAGCATTTAATTACAATCTAATTTCGCGCCACACATCAACACATTTTCATGCCGGATGCGAAATGCATGGCAGCTTCGGAATTATCCCATTTGATGATGATGGCAAACGTTTGCCTTTTCTGTTATCCTTGTTCGGCGATTTGTGATTTTTTTTCTGCCATGTCAATGAAATCCTTGTTACATTTGAAAACGGTTGCATGTTACATGATGACATGCCAGCAACAACAATAGTAGCAATGTTGTGGAAAAGGGAAGACGAGGAAATATATAAACAATTGTTATAATCTTATCTATCAAAAGGGTTTAAATGCATACAAATATGGTTGTGATTTTACATATAGATTGATATATATGTGTGTGTGTGTGTGCACATATGTATGCGCATATGAATACCATGAAGCTGTTCGTTCGTAAAGTAGAATTTAAACACATTATTGGGTGTTTGCAGAAAAAAATATATTTTTTTTATGAACAATTTTAGAATGGGTAGTGCTAGGATTGCACGTCAACAAATAATCTTAAATCTTAAAATCCGAAGCTATTTGATTGTATCCCTCGCGTTTAATGTCTTTATTAATTGCAAAATTTGATTGAAAACAATTAATATACTATAATTAATATTACGTTGCCTCCCGAACAAATTCGGTAATTTTTTATATTATTATAAGGCAAATTGATTTATACCACTTGAAGAGTCTTCAAAATTATATAAAAATTATATCTTCCAAATTTCGTTGATTTTAAGGAGGGTCGGAGCCTTCCAAAATTTTTTTGTTATGAAATTTTAGATCTAAGGTCAAGGGTTAATTCTTTAATTTTGGTCCAAGGTCTTATGAAGTTATATCGGGGCACTTCTTTCAAGGAATAAAATAAAGGATAACCTATTTACAATACAAGATATTCAAAGGATTTGTAATAAAAACAAATAATTACTCAATAAAAGACGATTCAATTGAGAGGGTAGCTAGAGAAGAACAAATCAAACAGCTTGCCAGGATAAGATATTAAATTACCAATAAATCGAAATTTATTAACAGCTGTTACAGGCAATATGTTAAATATCTACAAGCAAAAAAAGAACAAGCGGTCATTTGAATACCAATCTAGAGCAATTGAAGTGGGTGTTTTTTGTTGCAATTGATTTTATTGACAAGAAAAAAAACCCACCCACCTCCAAACAATTACCTTAAACGTATTTCCAATTTTAAAGGTCATATTAAGTAGTTCAGTTATTTATTTAGTTAACCTCCCCCTTATAAACAGTTCAAATTAAAACACATTGTCCGTTTTTTAATCAAAGATCAAATTACCTTGCATACAAAAGCCATTTCATTTTAAGGGCATTTGGATATTAAAAAAAAAAAACAATACCAAATAAAACTGGCTTAAATAGCTACACCCTATATCCGTTTATTTTCTGTTAATTCATTGTTAACCTTGTATATTCCTTTAATAATGATCATTTTCATTGTATTAGCTTTAACTCATCAGAGATAACTAAGCCAACCAGCCAGTCAGCGCTCAACTTATTGTGTTGACTGTTGTTGAAACCCCTGTGGTGGGTAGATAAGGATCTGGCAAGTGCTAAAATGATGTACACTCCACTCCACAGTCATTCATAGTCAGCATTGTCATGAGCACACACGCAGGCGCTCAGCCCGACACATGACGTGTGCTTAACCCTCTAATATGTATCATTTTGAAATATCTGAAAATAAATAACTTTCTTTTTTGGAAAAAAAAACGGCCACTAAAATTAAAAAAAGAAGTGTGATGGCTTTGAAACACAAAGGGAGGTTTAGATGAATATTAATGATTAGTTAATAGTACCCCAACAAAGTCGTTGAGTAATGACCTAATTATTTGAACCAACTTTCCTTTTTATTATTAAAGTCATATTCAAATGCCAATGTAAATACACGCGCGCGCCTTTCTACCGTTTTGAAGAAGAAATGATTAATGTTTGAATAATATTTTTTCGACTTTCCATT